TCTTGAAGAAGAATAGGAATAATCATATTCGTGATATTTACAAGATAAAATTTACAAGTAAACTAGATCATATAAGCTATACAAGAGTTTGGAATTACTAATAATAAGGGCACAAATGCTAAGCATTCTAAGCTTGCAGTACTTAAGAACCATTAAGCCTTTTTAGATGATACATCCTAAGTCGTATCACCTTAGCGACGCGATATGGACCTTCCCAATTATGCCCCAATACCCCTGCGCTTGGTTCTTTTATACCGAGAAGGACTTCTTTGAGGACTAGGTCGCCAACCTAGAAGTCTCTTCTCCTCACTTGGAGTCAATGAATCTTTTTGTCCGCTGTTGGTAGGAAGCTATCCTTAACCGAGCTTTTGTTGCTGTGTTCTTCAACCAAGTCCAGACTTGCACACATAAGTGTTTCATTGTCTGCCTCATTGTAAAACTCTCTCCTAAGTGAACCAGTTCCTACTTGAACTAGGACCATTGTCTCGCAACCATACATGTAACGCCCCGCTTGAGGTACGTTGTTATTGTTTCCTCTTTCGCCCTTAATCGAGTTGGTTTTTGTTATTATTGTTTGATTGAATGTCATGTTGAATGTTGCCCTGAATTTTGGTTGAAAATAGAAGAATTTGAGTGAACCAAGCTTCGCCGGAGCGAAGAATAATCTTCGCCGCGGCGAAGATGGGTTGAACCAAGGGTGAAACTCTCTGGACAGTTTCGCCACGGCGACAAATGTTTCTTCGCCGCGGCGACGGGCCGAATTTCATGTTGGTTGAGTTTTAGACATTTTCTTCCCTAAGGACAATTTGACCTTTCTACCCCTAATTAGCAGGAAAAGTGGGGAGTTAATTGTAAGGATTTTTCATGGAGGATGTGTTCATATGAGGGTGAGTTTGTAATGAATCAAAGGATATAGATGGAATTCCCAAAGAAGAGTAAGGGCAAAATGGGAATGATTGTGTTTATATTTCATTAAAAGGAATTAGAATCAAAGAAACCCTCATTCTTCTTCTCCAAAAACGCAACCCTTCATTCTTCTCCTCTCAACTTCTCTTTTCTTTTGATCAAGGATTTCCAAGGGATTTTGAAGTGATTTGGGGTATAGAAAGCAACCTAAGGCTTCCTAAGGTAAGGATTTCTCCTTAAGTTGTGTGATTTGTAGATTTTAGCTCATTTTGGTTTTTGAGGGTTTTCATTCTTTTGGTTAAGAGTAGAGAGAATAGTCAAGAAAACCAAGTGGAAAGAAGATTTGGTGAAGTCTCTCCATAGCAAGTAAGTAAAACCCAACCCAAGTTGAGATTTATGAAATTTCTTGATTAGGGTTTTGATAGAAATGATGTATGTATGTGATGTGCATGTAATATGCCATGTATGGAGTATTAAATGGAGATTTCTATGCTTTGTGAATGTTAATACCTTGCAAATATGAGAAATGGGTTGTTGGATTGGCAAGGTAGTTGAGATGGATTTGAAGGGGTGTTATGGAACCCTTTTTGGAAGTGTTTTATTTGACAGGTTATTATGGCTTTGTGAAGGGGTTTTTCCCCATTTTGGATGGTTAGGAAAAGTTTTAGATTCATGGCTATGATAGAGTTTTATAGTGCACATGAGTTGTTTGATGAAATGCCTAATAGAGAATTGAGTGTGAGTAATGAACCTTAATTTTTGCAACATTGCATGTTGGCATTTCACAAGTGCATTAGTAGAGATGAATCATCCATGTGCATTGTTATATGCATTGAAAAGTGACCTAAGAAAGAGTAGGAAACTTTGTGTATAGAAATACCCTATGAGTAGAGAGCTTAGTGGGTAAAATTACTCTAAGGGTAGAGAGCATTGAAAAATGCTACAATAGAATGAGTTAGAAGAGTAGTATAGTTGGGATGATGCTTTGTGATCATCACCCGACCGTTATGGGAATCGGATTGATGCTTTGTGATCATCATCCGAATAGCCCTTAGAGATGGGTCGATGCTTTGTGATCGTCACCCAATGAGTAATAGAAATGGGTAGATGCTTTGTGACCACTACCCGATTAGTTAAGAGATATGTAGGTTGATGCTTTGTGATCATCATCCAACGGCTAGTAGAAGCGGGTTGATGCTTTGTGATCATCACCCGATAGTGACTAGAGACGGGTAAATGCTTGGTGATCGTTACCCAAAATTCATGAGGAACGGGTAGGTGCTAGGTGATCTCCACCCGATAGTTAGGAGGAACCGAGTTGGTGCTTTGTGATCCTCACTCGGTAGTCACTAAGAACGGGTTGGTACTGTGTGAATTCCACCCGATAGCCATAGAGAGTGAGATGGTGCTGTGTGAACGCCATCCGGCCGTACCTCCGGTAAGATGAGGCCATGATGTTATTAGAAACAGAAATAGAAACAGAAATAGAAAAGGAAAGAATTAAGAGTCACACACGGGGACAGACAGTTAGAGAGTTTTACTTACTGAGCATTATTTGTGCTCACCCCGTTATTTTCCTTTGTGGATGCAGGTTCTAGGTGTTGATGCGGTTGGAGGGGCGTCGGCGCGCGAGGAGCAATAGCTACACTGTTCCCCTATTTTGTCTTTTAAAATGCACTTTTGTAAACAGTAACCTTTGTGTATAAAAGACATGTGAATTGTAATGAAAAGAAACGTTTTGGGCCCAATTTTCCATTGTTAATTGCATGCATTATACTAGTTTTCAGTAGGTGTTACAATACATTAGCAAGAAAGGTGTTTCTAAAGTAGAGGTCCTTGGAGTTGTTCTATATGCCTATAGAACTGTTGGGAGATCATCGGCCCGATTGCCTTTTGTTATGCCAAGCTTGGCCTTTAAAGTGTACTTAATGGTTTTGTTGATAGCTTTAACTTGACCATCAGCTTGCAGTCTTGCCACTGAGGCAAATTTCCTATGAATCCCTAATTCTTCGTAAAACTGCTTGAACTCCTCATTGTCGAACTGTTTCCTATTATTTGAGATGAGGGTATGAGGAATTCTATAACGACACACAATATTCTTGAATACGAAGTCTTTGAGCTTTTTGGTGGTGATCATGGCCAAAGGTTCTGCCTCGACCCACTTAGTGAAGTAATCCACTATGGCCACAACACATTTGATGCTACCCTTACCATTTGGCATGAGATCGATGAGATCAATTCCCCACATAGCAAATGGCCAAGGACTGGTCATCGTTGTCAATTGGTGGAAAGGAGCTCGCGAGATGTTAGCGAATCTCTGGCACTTATCATACTTATTCACAAAGTTGTAGGTATCTTCATGAAGTAAGGGCCAATAATATCCCTAGTGGATAATTTTATTGGCAAGAGATCATGTAGCTGTGTGATTACCATAGATCCTTTCATGTATTTCTCTCATAATGTAGTTTGCCTCTTCATCTGTCACACATCGGAGGAAGGGAGTGCGAAACCCTCGTTTATATAGTTGATATTCGATTATGGTGCAACGAGTAACTCTAGTTTCTAGGAGTCTTGTTGTTAGGAAGAACCCCTTCTTTCAAATACTGAATAATTGGAGTCATCCAAGACACAGATTCAGTTGTCTGTCTAGTCGGGTGAGTTGATGCTAGAAACTTTAATGTATTTGACCGGGATATTATTTGGCACATCGGAGTCCATCGATGAAGCTATCTTTGCCAAAGCATCCACAATAGAATTTCTATCTCTTGAGATTTGCCTGATCATATAATGCTTGAAGAGTTCGAGTGCGGCCTTGACTTTTTTCAAGTAATTGATTATATTCTCTTCTTTGGCTTGATATTTTTCCAAAAGCTAATTAACTACCAGCTGGGAGTCGCTATTGATGTACATCATATCTGATCCCATCTCTTTTGCTAGTCGCAAACCAACAAATAACGCTTCATTCTCAGCCTCATTATTCGTGGCTTTGAATCCGAACCTAAAGGCTTCATAAATGTGAGTTCCCTCAAGACTAATGAGCAGAAGACCAGCTCCGGCTCTTTTTCTATTAGAAGACCTATTAACAGATTCTTGGATGTCTTCGTTGGCTAGCTGTTAGGGTTTCGGATCTGGCTGATAGGAAAACTTCAATATAAAGTCAGCTACAACTTGCCCTTTGATAGATGCTATCGATCTATAACGTAGATCGAATTAACTTTATTATATGGCCCATTTGAGTAATTTACCCAAGACCTTTAGCTTTTGAAGGACCTGTCTGAGTGGGTAATTTGTTAACACATGAATGGTGTGGGCATGAAAATAAGGTCGCAGCTTCCTAGAAGTGATCACCAAGGTAAGGGCTGATCGTTCCATCTCTAGATACCTTGACTCAATATCCAGTAATTGTTTGCTTGTGTAATACACTAGCCATTAGATCCTGCCTTCTTTCTGAATGAGAGCTACGCTAACCGTATATTGAGAAACGAACAGGTAGAGAAACAAAATTTCCTTGAGAAGAGGCTTGGACAAAAGAGGTGGTTTTTTGAGATGCTCTTTTATTCTCTGGAAGACTTGCTCACACTCTGAAGTCCATTCAAATTTCTTGTTGGCTCTGAGTATATTAAAGAACGGCAAACAATGATCTGTTGCTCTTGATATGAAGCGATTGAGAGCCGCTATTCTCTCATTCAAGCTGTAAACTTGCTTGTGATTGGCGAGACTTTTTATCTCTAGAAGAGCTTGGATCTTTTCGGGGTTAACTTCAATTCCCCGATGGTTAACCATATACCCCATAAATTTTTTGGAAGATACTCCGAACAAACACTTAAGGGGTTAAGTTTCATTATATATCTCTGGAGTATATTAAACATTTCCGTGAGGTTAGCTATGTGATTTAAAGTGACATGCAACTTGACTAGCATGTCATCGACATAGACCCTCGTTGATTTTTTTATCTGCTTGAAAAACATATGGTTAACCAGACGTTGGTAGGTTGCCCTAGCGTTTTTCATATCGAAGGGCATAACCTTCTAATAGTACAATCCTCGATCTACGATAAACGAGGTATGCTTCTCGTCAGATGTGAACATCAGAATCTAATTATATCTCGAATAGGCATCCGTGAAGCTTAGCAACTCGTGCTTGGAAGTGGCATTAACGAGCTGATATATTCTTGGTAGAGGGAAACTGTCATTTGGGTAGGCTTTGTTGAGATCCGTGAAATCAACGTAAGTACGCCACTTACCGTTGGGCTTTTTCACCAAAACAGGATTGGCAACCCAATTGGGATAATGAGCTTCCCGAATGAACCCAATTGAGAAGAGCTTGTCCACCTCAACCTCAAAAGCAGCATATCGCTCTGGGTTCATAGCTCTTCTCTTTTGGAAAGATGGCTTGACTTCACCGTCAATGTTAAGTGCATGACATATAACTTCCAAGCTGATCCCAACCATGTCAGCATGAGTCTATGCAAAAATATCTATATTCTATTTGAGGAAGCTTGCTAAATGGGTTGCGAGCTGAGGGCTGAGATTGCTTCCAATTCTCAGGACATGAGTCAACTCATTCTCGTCGATCGAAACCTCAGATAAAGTCTCAACGAACCTATTATGGGAATACTCCTCTTGAACACAAGGATCGATACTGTCTTCCATTGGACCAAGCTATGACTCATCCTGTTGATCGTTATTGCCTATTTAGGAATGCCTACAGGCTTTCATTTCCCTTTGCATGCCATCTGCATTGTCGTATTATAGCAGTCGCAAGATTCACATTGTGATCCCTTAACTTTCCCACACCACGTCAAAGTGGGAAACTTCATCTTCTGATGGTAGATGGAGGTGACAACCTTGAAATTTTGAAGTAGAGGTCGTCCTGGGATGCCATTAAAAGCTTATGGACAATCCACTGCCAAAAATTCTGTCATTTGGTCACTTCGTGGGTATCTCCCAAACTGACCGAAAGTGAAATAATTCCTCAGAGAGTTAGGTGGTCCCCCGTAAAACCACGAAGAGGAGTTGTGATAGGCTTTAGATCTGTCTCTTCTAATCTCATCTCCATAAAAGCCCATTGAAATAAGATATTTACGGCACTCCCATTGTCCACCAACATCCTGTGGACTTCACACCTTCCTATTTTAGCCAAGACAACGAGCGCATCCTCATCTTTCTTAGAGAAGGTAATCTCCTATCCTTTACGCACATTACTAGGTCGCGGTTCCAAATTCAAAACATTTAAGCTCATGCCTAACCTCTCGAGCATACTTTTCTTATGCATTGCGAGAGTTTCTGGCTATATGAGGTCTTCCAAAGATGGTCCTTACCATATAAAGACCTTTGCAACCTCGATGCCTTTTCTTATCACCTTCTTGATCATTCTGCCTTCTGGGAGTTGGACCATCAACATACTCCTTGAAGTGCCCCTTTTGAATGAGGTCTTCAATTGCTTGATTAAGAGCTCGACATTCATCAGTATGGTGCCCATTATCCCGATGGTAACAGTAGTATTTCTTGTCGTTCCTTTTAGATGTAGGTTTCTTCATGGGCTCTGGCTCTCCGAGCAGATTAACTTCTTCTGACTTATCCAGAATAGTTAAAACTGATGCATTGAGTGGAGTAAATAGATCTCGATCGCGATGAGGAACTTGGGCATAGGATTTCTTAGGCTTAAACCATTGTTTCTTTCCCTTTCTCTGATCATCATTTGCCCATTTGCGATCAGATCTTCTACTACTCTCTCCCTGTTTTTCTTCCCTTCGACTGGGAACATTGGTCAAAGGCTCGAGGTCATGGTGATTTAAAGCTGCCACTAAGTTTTTTATCATCAGATATTTTTCTGTGAGATTATAAAAGCAAGTCAGGGAAATATCATCCTCAGATTTCAGTTTCTTCCACAAGTTGGTTTGTAAGCAAACTTCAGTAATAATTAGAGTCTAAACTGAATCTTCTGGTATATTAGCCACCTTATTCAGTTCCTTGTGAAACCTATCAATGTAGGACTGAGAGATTCATTCTTTTCCTATCGTATGTTGCTGAGATAGCATAACGATATTGAGAACTTCTGATTGGCCTAGAAGTGTCTCAAAAATAACAAACTCATTTGCTGCCATGACGTTTGGCGTGCGTGTAATATCCCACTTGAAGTACGTATTTAAGATTTGTTGTATTAGTTAAAAGTTTATTGTTTCAACTTAAATTGAGTTTATATGTTGAGTTGGTTGAATTGTTGCCTTGAAAATTGGTTGAGTTTTGGTGAAGTTGGAAATCCAAACTTCACCGGGGCGAAGAAGAAGCTTCGCCGCGGTGAGGAGGAGAAGTTGCATTACGGGTAGGTTCTGCCCTGTTTCGCCGAGGCGACAAACATGCTTCGCCGTGGCAAGAGCCTAAAACAAGATTCTTGAGTTTTCTAGAGAATTCTTCTTTTGGGACACAATGACCATTCTCCCCCTAATAGTAGGAAAGGGGGAGTAAAATGAAAGGAAATTTAGTAGAGATTGTGTTTGTATGGGGTGTAGTTGTAAAGAATCAAAGGATATAGATGGAATTTTCAAAAAGGACAAGGGCAAAATGGATGAAGCTTTAATATGAACTAAAAAGAGTAAAGTGAGAGAAAACCCTTATTCACATTTCCACCCGCCTCTTCCATTGCCCATATTCTCTCAATTTCTCCACCCAATTTTCAAGAGTTCTAAGGGATTTAAGAGGGGTTTTGAGTAAGATTTCATCTAAACTTCCTAAGGTAAGAATTCATGCTTTAGATGTGAGTTTTCTTGTATTTATAGTGAAGTCTTATTGTGTTGTTGCTGTCCTTGGTGTTGTTTTGAGTTGTAGAGAAGAGACAGTCCACAAAGGGAAGGAAAAGTGCTAAAGAAGCCATCTTTGCACAGTAAGTAAATCCAACAATTTGAGTTATGACTAATGCTTGAGTAGAACTTATTTTAATTATGTATTACATGGTATACCTACTGAAAATTGAGATGAGATGTGTGCTTAGTCTTAGTAGTTGGATTGATTATATATGAAAGTGTTGTTGATATGTGTATTGAGAATGGAGTTTAGATGAAGTTTGAGAGATGTTGTGTAATCCTTTTGGGGAGTGCTTTTCTTGACAGGGATTTGAGTAATTGAGGGAGTTTTTCCCCAATGTGATGGCTAGAAAAATGAAGTTTATTAGTAATTTTCGTAGGGTGTTTTATGCACATGAGATGTTTGAGGAATGCCTAAGTGAAATCTGCCCTGTCACTGCCGAACTTTCGGAGTAATGTTTAGTATCTTGCGGTTCGAACTGGGCTGAGACCAAAACAGAGAAGTTGTAGCCCTGTTTCTAAGCTTTGAAACGAGACCAGAACCGTAGTAATCCGAGGTGTATAGCATAAGTTTGGCTGTTTTAGTGTGACCTGGCAGAATACGGTTTTGAGGAAATCTTGTAGTTGGCATTTCATTAGTGCATTAGAGCATGAGATAGCTCTACACCTTTGTTTATACACTTGAGAGTAGCTTGAGATTTAGTATAGAATGTGAGTATAAGTTCTTTAGAGTTAAAGAATAGAGTAGGTTTGCATGGGGAACCCGTGAGTAATGGGTAGAGTATTCCGCAGGTACCCGCATGAGAGAGCGGCATGGTATCAGATAGAGAAGTGGTGTAGCCCGAGAGTGCATGCGGATGAGGGCTATACCGAGTACCCGAGAGAGAGATTATACACTCACTGGCCAAGGTTCCGAATCCATGCATAACCGAGTCCGATCGGCTAAGTGAATAAGGTCACGTAAGTGGGAGTGAGTCCCGGCCGTGCCCCCGGTAGATGGGGTCGTGATTCATGAAAGAGTTATGAGAAAGAGGAAAAAGAGAAGTGCCCAAGAGAAATTGAACGAGGATTGTAAGGAAGAATTAGAGAAAGAGATTTACCGGGTGCTGATGTAGAGGATTTACTTACTGAGCATTATTTTAGTGCTCACCCCGTTTGTTTTCCCATGTTTTCAGGACCTAGGTGAGGACACTGTCGGATGGATGTCGGCGTGCGAGGAGGAGTGGCTACACTGTCCCTGATGTTTTGATGACTTTTTGTATACTTATATATATTTTTGTGTAAATATGCATATGTTTGTAAAGAGTATGTATATTGTTTATAAAAAAAAACTTGGCCCAATTTCTTTATGTTATTTATATGTATTTCATTATAATCTTTTGAGTAGTTGGCTATTACTTTTGGTATCAGAGCCGAGATTTTGGGTTGACAGTGTGCCATTCCTCGCTACGACGTCCGATAGCCGACTGTGTGAACTAATTCTTTCCTTACTTTAAGTGTTCTTTTGAATTGATCAAGTATATTGTTTTGTAGATGAGGCGTAGTAACAGGAGGAAGGGTAGTGTGATGCATGAGGGAGAATCCTCCAACCCACCAAATCGACTCCCCCTACCCTTGATGGACGAGGATCGAGCTATAGTACACAGGTTTTAGCGGAGAGTTAGGGGAGAGGTAGTTCAGGAGAGAACTGAACTTCCAATGAGACCGCCTCTGAGACAAGAGCGAAAGGGCTGGTACCTCAGCCAGTACAGACTCGATTGATCCGATTCAGGGGCTTATAAATCAAATCACCGCCACAGCTTTAAGGGTACAAGGGACCCGCTAGAGGCAGGAGTGGTTTAAGTCTGTAGAGCGGACGGCGGCATTGTTTCCCCTGAACGATCGAGAGAGGATCAGATATTCAGTTTCTTGTTCAAGGGAGATGCCCGGATATGGTGGGAATTAATGGAGGAAACTCATGACATAGCCTCGATGACTTGGGAGGAATTCAGAAGGTTTTTTGAGGCCAAGTACCGAACAGAAGATCGAGTACATGAGAAAGTCCAAGAGTTTATTCACTTGAAGCAGGGGACTAGTACGTGAAGGAATATTCAGTAAGATTTAATTCCTTGCTCGTTTTGCACCCGGAATAGTTGTATACACCGGAGTTAAGGAGAGATAAGTTTGTGCAAGGGTTGAGATCAATATTGCTCGAGATGTATGACGGAGTCGGCCCCCCTCATACCTACAGTGAAGCTCTAGCACGGGCTTTAAGGGCAGAGATCTTGTGAACAAGTATATTGCAGAAGGATTGACTTTGACAGTACCTAGTGAGCCTCCACCACCTTACAGAGGGAGAGAGTAGATGTCACAAAGAACAGAGAGTACGGCCAAGAAGAGTTTCACCAAGGGAAATAGGAGAGATCGGCAGTTTAAGCGGCCCAGAACGAAGGGTTTCCCCCTTGTGCTAGGTGTGGGAGGAACCATCCAGGAGAGTGTTTGAGAGAGCAATGTGTGCTACAAGTGCCGACAGCCGGGCATATGTGGAGAGATTGTAAAGCTCCCCTTCCACCGCTGGTTCCTATCCCTAGAGGTACGAATGCCAGGGTGTTTACAGTGGCACGGGTGAAGCCGGCCAGTCCATCAGCTGTAACTG